GGACTCTCAACCACTGCGCCACCAGGGAAGCCCAAGCAAAACATTTTGATGGACCGTTTTGGAAAGATAATCCTTAGAACACAGCCAGAAAAAGAGATAAACAAATTCTCTGTATAAAAAATGAAATGGACTTATGAAGGTTGTGTGTAAAAAAAAAGAATATGAAAGAAGGGTGTTGGGGCAGAATTACATGGTGGAAAGTTGGAGGCCAAATGGAAGAGACAACCCACAAAAATTTCCTAGCGGAGGGTGTAGGGAGAATGACCAAGGTAGTAATAGGAATGCCTATTACTGAAGTTTAAATTTTCAATTATCTGCTAGGCTGGGTGTGATGTAATCTTTCCATCCTCCATGAATTTTCAGTAAATGTCTACTAAGTGCTATGTCCTGGAGTGAGCTTTTGGAAAGCAAGGCAGAGGAATTGTTAAGATAAGGGAACACTGGCAAGTGATGAGGCAATGCATGAGTTGTGGTTTCAGCCAAAGCAGGAAATCAAGCCAGAAACAACTAGATGAAACATAAATCCTTTCTGATAACCTGAGAGACACCAGGTTTCTAATTTCATAAGGGCTGTAAGTTTGAACACGTTATTTTAATTTGAGTAGGAATGATGATGCAGACTGACAAAGGGTGTTTCCTTGGGATTCCTGGTGCCATGTCTTGCCTGCCTCAGCTGTACCCAAGTTTCTTCTAAAAGGCCTATGCATCCTGCTAGTTCACAGATCTCAGGATGCAGCAGGACTGAGCCATATGTGCCCTGTTTCCCCAAGTGACCCTTCCATTTGCGGTTTTGATACTTGGTTCTGCCTTTCAATTCCCCCCCTCAAGGACCAGAACCCGGCTCTGAACACGAGAGGGGTTGCTGGGAGACTTGACTCTATCACCTAATATTTGCCAGCTTCTTCTGCTAAGGTTGTCTTTTTCTGCTCTCCTAAGTATACCTGAACCACTATTATTGCCTCTCCCCAAACACGGGTTACAGAGCCTTCCAAGATAGAGTCTGCATGCACCTGGGCTCTTTTAGTCTCATTATGTGGATCAATGTTCTTGACTTGAAAACCAGCAGTGGCCTTCTGTTACCCATTAGGTAAAATCCCAGCTCCTTATTAGGATATATTAGCCCCTTCATAACCTGTTCCAGTGTCTTTTTCCAGTACTCCCCATTCAATGTTCTCAATAAGCACTCATCAGAATATTCCTTTTTCTCCCAGTGAGTAGACCTGGCCATGTTTTTTTACGGCTGTTTGGACCAAGGGTAGAGGCTTGAATCAAGAAATGGGACCAACCAGAGTGCCTTTCTCAGCATTTAAACTTGGTTTGAAGAAGGACACTCCAACCTTTGCAATGCCTGTTAATATAAGGTCTTCACAGAACAGAGCACGTGATTTGGATTGTGTAACTATTTCAATTAATACATTAAGAAAAACCAAAAAAGGTGTCTTGGCTCAGAACTCTTTTTCTCACCAAGAGTAATTATGAAATTTTAAATTGTTATTTATACCACAATGTTCAAAATTATAATGACTACATATGACATAGTTCACATAAGTAGTGAAATTAGTTGATCTCCATGATATTCGAACAGAGACCTGGAAGTTCACATCTAAGGAACTGATCTGGTTTCAAGTCATCTTTAATAGTGAACCATTCTATACAAGGTCAGTGTCTGCTGGGTGGCCGGTGATTACTAGAGAAAACTCTAAATCGTCTAAAATACAGTTGAGGAGTGGAAGATGCCTTTAATGTTTAGGACTCTAAATTACCTCACAGACCACCAGCGAAAGGCACGTGTCTTCTGAATTTGACCAATTCTATATGACAGCTTATTTTCTTTCTTTTTTTAAATGTCTGCTATTGATATTTACTAATATTGTATTTATTTGCCCCGGGCTGGGCCACTCCAGCACCCATCCCAGGACCCGCCCCTTGTTTTGCTCAGCACGCTCCCATTGGTTGAGACTTAGCAGTAATGATAGCTTATTTTCTACTCTGATCATAAAATTTTAACTTCTTGAGGCATGGATTGAACTACTTCTAATGCTCTTCTCAGCAAAAGTACCTGGTTACAAATAAGAACTTCATTAGCTTTTAGCCTTTAATGACTATTACTTAAAATTTAACACAGAGTCATTAATCTCCCTCAAACCAACAATCTTATTAAAGTATATATGTTGTCCATGCTTCCAATTTTTGTGGCACTCTGATTTTGAGGTTTTCAAGACAGTAGACAAATAGATTTCAAAAACCATCATGAGATCACCATGGAGAATGGGAAGAACAGTCTCTTAATTTCATGCATTAGGACAGGCATATATGGGAAGCAACTTCTAATCTTCTTTTAGATTCTACCCAGTTGTTAGTGTCATTTCAATGTGTGAGATAACTTTCTATTTTTTCCTTCTAAGAAATGAATATATAACCTATTATTTAAGATTAGAGTTAGAAATGGATTTAGGGCAGCACCAAGTACTAATCCTTCATGTTCTACCATTTTCTATTCACGTTACATTTTTGCCCGGTACGTAGTTGTGACTATAGAATAGGAAAACTGACCAGAAGGCAGGCTTAAGGTTCTGGTTATAAAGTTCTGATCATGTCACCTATAGAAGTTTAAAAAATACAAGTTAATATGGGACACATTTTCAAGAATCAGTGGCATTGAAGAAGATAAGAGCACGCAGAAGACCGCTACAGTACTGCAGAGGTTCCGGTGGCTCACTTCTACTTAACCAGCTCTCTATTTCCTCTGTAAAATATACTGACCAATGCCCACAACACACTGAATGTCCACAGCTAGTTAATGACTCTCAACTGTGCACATCTGTTCCCACTAGAGGAAAGTCCCAGGAGAGAGTCCCAAACAAGTTTATACCATTTGTACTTATTATTGTAATTACATAATTTAATTAAATATTATGTAAACGGATGAAATATGAGAGCAAAAAGGAAGACAGTTGCTTTGGGGAACACTTCTTTTGAAGAGAAGATAAATTCTACTAAATCTAAACTGACTAAAGGATTTTCTCTGAAGATGGGGTAGGTCTGGATGAATTCTCAAGGCTTTTTCCAAATCTATCGTAATAGATATTTCTTCGTTTTTAAATTTTGTTTCCTTTTGGATTTAGTCCCAAGTTCTATTTCATATGATAACAGCTGCCAATTACCATTTCCTGAGCACTTACTATGTGCCAGGTACTGTGTACAATGGTTTGTTTGCATTATCTCATTTGATAAACACAGTAATGACTATTAATTATTGAACAATGACCTTATGTGCTTGGCCTTTTGTTGAGCAAATTATAAATATTACCCATTTAATTCTTACAATACACCGATTTTTAGATACGGAAGCTAAAACACAGAAGGAATGGGAACTTTGTCTACACGTACGCAACTAATAAGTAAAAGAGCTGGGACTGAAACTCAGCTCTATGTAACTTCAAAACCTTATCTCTTGTGACTACACTATACTACTTCCACATAGAGGCTCTTTAAGGAGCTGCCTTATTTATTTTTGTAGCCTCAGTGCCTAGTTCAGGTCCTATCTCACTGTAGGGACTCACTAGTGTTACATGGATGAAGGAATGCATGCATGGATGAGTATTACTTCAGTTTTGCTTGCTAGGCCTTGATGTCACTTTGCCAGAGAGCATGGAAGAAAGACAGGCAACATTTCTTATTCGTAGACAACAGTGCTGCTTAATGTGACTTAGCCTCCATGTACGTCTCTCATTGATTGAAACACTATTATATTCAGATATAGGATAGTTGTGTTGGGGAAATAAGAGGTTGTAGTTACAATTTACTGTTGTGGACAAGTGGATTATTTTTTTTTGTCTTCTATGCATCTTTCTTCTTCCTTTTGGGGGAAACCTCTCGCCCACTCCCAGTCTCTGTGGTGTGAGTGGAGTTGACCCAGTCCCTGCCTCCAGCGTTGGGCTTATGTCCCAAGTCCAACTAATGAGAACCATTCATTCCTCTGCCACAGTGAATGGATCAGGAGCAAATACGGAATAAATATGGGATCGAAGCCAGGCCAAGGAGAATTGTTCCTGGGAATTTTCTATTCCCACGGCAAAAGAGAAACATACTTGCCCCTGAGGATGCTAGGCTGATACGATACAATACTGCTGCTGCCATCTTGCTGCCAGGAGGAAAGATTTTAAGCGAAAACGAAGCTAACCCAAAGATGAGCAGAGATTAGAGATGGAAAGAGGCAAAATTCCCGGCAAGATACTTTGGCACTTGGATCTAGTCATGCCCAAAGTCATATCTAATCCTGGAACTTTAAGTTAAGTAATCCAATAAATTCTCTTTTATACCTAAACAGTTTGAGTTGGCCTTTGTCACTTGCACCGAACTTTAGCATGTCTTAAGAATTTATAGAAGCCTAAGAAATGTTTTCAGAGTGCATAATTGGGATCAAATGGATTGATCCAGAAACCATGGCTTGCAAATGTTTAGAGGAGAAAAAGAAATTACACTTAAAACAAAGCAAAGAAAAAAAATTAAACACAAAGCTGAATCTAATATCTGGCTCTAATATCTTAGCTCTAGCTAGTGTTTTAACTTTGGTGCTTAGTAACACTCTTTTGTTCTTTGATTTAAAAGAAGACTAGCTAATCTGCTAAGTAAAATGGCTTCATACATAACATTGCAAGATCTGAATTTCTTGGAAGTCTTCAGAACAAGTCAGAATATGCAGGGGGAATACCCCCACCATGTTTTCAAATGAATTCTTTAATTCAAGACTTCTTCAAGCAGCATTTTCTTCCAGCTCACTTGCAAAACACACACTTGTGTATACACAACCATGCAGAAACAGAAATCCATTCGGGTACAATCTAACTTGTAATCAAGAACTACTAAAATAGGACCTTATCATCAGCACAGCACATCCCAAAATGTCTTTGTAAAATAAATCAAATTATATGAGTTAATTGATTCCAGGCAACATCAGCAAGTGCAGGTGGAGACTGAAGAGCAGGATGTTTATTAATGAAGTACTATTAATCAAAATTGACAATACCAATTCCTGTTTGTTGTATCTGAAAGCTACCTTCAGTGGTTATAGATATATTTGTTGAGTTTTAAAACACAGTTTTGAAAAGGAAGAAAAAAAGGTATAGTAACACATGGGATTTTTAGCTTTGGATTTTGGACTACTGATATTTAAACACAGGAAAGATATTCCTAAATGCAATTTGACAAGCAATGCCAAAGATGCCAGTGGTAATTAATTAGCACTTAATTGAGACCACAGAACAACAGGACATAGGAATTGGTACTCAGTGCCATTTCCCCCTTAGGCTCCATCTCATGAGGGTCAGGAGTGTGGCCGCACGCTGAAGGTCAGGAAGTAAATTGAGAGAACACATCGACGCTGGACATTTCATGATGGATCTCCTTCACCCTTTGCTGCTGCTCCCGGCCATCTCTGATGAGAAAACGACTGTGATTGTTTGAAGGGGAAGTCATTGTTCACGCACATCTAAACCAAGGTAAGCGCTGCCCTCACATCCTAGACTAGTTAGGCTGGACACTTCACAAAAAGATAAAGCTCATGAATCAGATGTTAACATGAATGAGGGTAGGCCAACATAAAAGCAAAGTAAATTTAGAGTGAACATTTATTTGAAGTTGCTGGCTTTGTTAGTTTATATTCAATTTTTGTAGAAATAAATTTACACCAGGGTTTTTTATAGTTTGGACTTCTATGATGCATGTTAAAGACTTAAAAGACTTTTGGAAATTCAATCTAAGACCATCATACATACTCCCCCAATTCCTCTTCAAACAATGACCCTCTATCTTAATAGATAGGAGTCAACATGCTTTAACAGAGAGGAAAGAACATTCTTACTTCATTATTCCATGGACTGAACAAATAAAAAAAAAAAAAGGAAATTAATTCTAGTCTCTGAATAAATCTAGAGACAATTTCTGATTGAAAGTTTATGGTAGCTTGTCATATAACACATGAATTGGGAAATAGGTTTGTTAAATTTGCCACAATATTTTTTGAAAAATTAAGTTGGGTCAGTTTTGATTTTTCCATCTTATAGTTGAAATCAGTAACTGAAGGTATAGTTCATTGATGTAACTGGGAAGCGATATCTGGGTTCTTGAGTAACAAACCCTCGATCCACACAGATTATGTTACTTTTGAAGGGTCTTCACTGTCCAAAAGGAGCTTGAATAAAGCACAAATGTCATACATACATCTGGAAGGAGACTCTTCAGGAATCTGCTTTACTTGGTCACACATGCCTGCAGTTAAAACCAACCAGATACCCTTCCTTTCAACACTCCTAGGAAGGGCTTGACTCTGATTCTTTGGAGGTCCTTGAGAATTTGTAGTAGACAATGACATCCACTGACAGAGCAGATGGCAATGACAATTTGGTAAGAAATACGTACTCCTTTTCCCCAACTGAGTTCCTTTCCATGGTTCATTCACGGAACTAAGTTGGTTCCCATGAGAGTCGCCTCAACATCACTGCTCTTTAAAAACAACTGGAAAAATCTGGACAAGGGATTTCTTTCTGAGAATTGAGATACTCATGTGATATGACTGGAGTAGATCAGTGGTTCCCAGCCTCCCTTATCATTAGAAAACACAACTAAGAGTTGGATGGCAACAGAGAGAAATACCATCTGGTAGCCTCAGAATTTGCAATCAAATAAGCTTCTCTTTATTGTCTTGATATTCATTTAGTTAAAAACTTCGAGAAAACCATAACTTTCAGTCTTAGTCAACCTTCCCCTCTGTGTTTTAAAATATCAGTTTGCAAACGTTATGGTATTTGAGGATAAAATCATTTTCAAACTCAGAGATCTTTGTACTGTTTAGTGGGATTAAAAAAAAGATCTATGAAAATCCCATATCTCTTCCGTTGGCCTTTAAACTTTTCTGATTTTAATACGGATAAGCTGCAACTTTAAATACCTTCTAGAACGCCACACATTTCAAATCTTCCCTAAAACACAGCGTCACAATTATAGTCCTATGCTTTAATGAAGTAACACGTGAGGCCTGAGCCACCCACTTCTATGCAGTGAACATTTCTGAACTTGTTCTGTAAATTGGAGCACCAATTTTATTTTGTTAATTAATTTCATTTTCATTATGTATTAAATTGATTTATACTTCCACCTTATAAATGTATTTTACTGTGTAAAAATACATTACATATAAAAGGTTAAAATACGTTTAAAATGAGTGAGAGGGGCTTCCCTGGTGGCGCAGTGGTTGAGAGTCCGCCTGCCGATGCAGGGGACACGGGTTCGTGCCCCGGTCCGGGAAGATCTCACATGCCGCGGAGCGGCTGCGCCCGTGAGCCATGGCCACTGAGCCTGCGCGTCCGGAGCCTGTGCTCCGCAACGGAAGAGGCCACAACAGTGAGAGGCCTGCGTACCACACACACACACACACACACACAAAATTAATAAATAAATAAATAAAATAAAATGAGTGAGAAAATAAGGGCAAAGGGAAAATAAGGGGTTAGTAGAATATTTAAGGTGCATGCTGTAAAGTTACAAATGCTTGCCAAGTTTGACTCGAGGCTTGTCATTCCCTGTGAGTCATATCACTTCCAGGTAGTCTGCCAGTGACCAACTTAACTGTTAACTTCTGAGAACATTTCTGCTTTCCTTGTGCTGTCTATGTGACCATGTCTGTTCAGAGGCACCAAAGATTCTGAATTTCTTCTTTTTTTTTTCAAGTCAGATTGGAGCAGGGAACAGTTCCCATATTAGCTTGTCCATTCATACAAATATTTAGTGACTTTTATGTGTGGGTTACTCTGAGAAGGGAAGCAGTTTTGCATAGAAGTTAGCTTTGGATTCAGAAAAACTTGCATTCAAATACTGACCCCACTACTTTTTAGTTGGGTGGTCTACGAAAAACACGTGGTTCCTCTGGATGCTAGATTTTTGGCTCCATAAATGGACAGTAATACCTCCTTTACATGGTTGCTGAATTGAGAGGATGTATTTCTAAATATTCAGGAGAGTATGGGACACGTGGTTGATGCTCAGTAAACTATGTCTCTTCATGCTAGGTATTCTCAAGAACCAGAAAAGAATAAGAATAACTTCTGCTCTACATTCACTATGCTGTATGTATGTGTCAAGCTCTCCTTCACGGCTATGCCTAAGAAGGGCTATGAGTTGAGTAGGGAAAGATCTCCTCAGATGGGGTCAGATCTGTGATCGAGCAAATCTGAATATAGCTGGACACTGAGCCAGATGCTTCAAAGAAGTGGTAGCATCTGGGATGAGCAGAGAGCATAGAGAGGAGTCTGGGAAGGAGCAGAAGAATGTGGGCCAAGCCTTGCAGAGGGGGATGCGGGAGGTATGGGTGGAGCTGACGAGAAAATTCATTCATCTGATGAAGTGACACATTCGTTCACGGAAGTAATGGTTAGAATTCCAGGTAGAGCTAAGACAGTGAGAAAGTACTGACAATTTTATAGAAAAGGGACCTCTGTGATGAAATTACCTTCATCAGAAATTGAAAATCTAAGAACTTTAACTTTAAGAACCATCTAGAATAATTAGCCAGTTGGAGGTCAAGTGCCTTCGACATAGCTTATTTCCATTTTCCTTTTACCACTAAAGTCAGCCTGGGTTATAGGACCTGCAAACTGGCTAGATGACCTGGGAAAGCACAGGTTTGCTCATCTTTGCAATGAGAGCCTTGGCCAGCTTCCCTTCTGGCACTGACACCTCAAAAACCTATAAGCCATTTCACTCTTGAAAATGAGAATAAAGGTCAGATGCTTGCTATTGCTGCTGTACCTCGACTTGCCTTTTGGACGCCTCTGTTTAAACTTCCAGATGTCTGCAAGAAGTCCTCTGCATGCTGAGTCATTTAAATTTTTGAAAAGGTCTTCTTCTTCCTCTTTTTTTTTTTTCAAGGAGTGGCCTAGGTGTTGACTGGCCTGAAATTCCACAGAACTAAAGACAAAATCAACTCCTTTCCCCACCGCCCAAAACAAAAACCTTCCATACGTGTCTCTCTGGGAAGCCACATTACTACTTCTTGATTTTAAACTCAACAGTTACATTTTTAAAGAGACATCACACTTTGGAATATAAACGTGTGAAATCTAAATACAAAATATAATAAAGCAGCTTGAGCCAAGCCACAATTTGAACTTTGCTGTTGTTTTAATTTAGGGTCGTCAAGCACTTTTGAACTTGTTTCTAGCTGTGCCACTATTCTTTGGTGGGTTTCGAGATGAGGCCAGCCACCTTCCAGGGGCTTAATTCGCTCACTTTTGGAAGATGCCCCATATTTTCCTCTGCTTTGCAGCATCTTTCCTCTGAGGGGCTGGGGATACTTAAGCCTCAAAATAGCCCAATACAGAAGTGTATATAGTCTGTCTGCATTACTGATTTGAGATGGTGAAAGACAAATATTGCATACTTTTCTCTAAGCACAGGAAATGCCCTTTTGTGATTCACTCCCCATGTAGACTGAGAAAGACATATGATTACAGTGTGTGTTTAGGCCCTTTCTAAGCTCTCTGCCTGGGGATAATGCAGGACTGCTGAGGGTGGTGGCTGCCACCAAGCACAGAGGACCCAAGAAACATTCTCCTCACTTTGGCTACATTGTGGCAGCCCTTATTGTCTGAATTCCTACCTTAGTGTATCCCCAATTGTGTTACTAATGACATTCTTATGGTACAACAACCTCCGTAAAGAAGTTCTCTATACCTGGGGGTGTTTATCTTCTTGGAAAGCCTTCCATTAGAATAGATAGTAATCTGACGTTCCTCTACCTCCCTGACTCTTGCCTCTTCTGATATTTTAAATCCAATTACTGACCTCTATTTTTACCTTCAGGCTTCCTCAGAGGCCCCACCCCACATTCTAGAACACTTCTCAGTTTATGACTTCTCCCTCCCATTAGAACAAAAATTCCTGAACTCATACTTATTTCAGAAAACCTTTGCTGGCTAAATTCAAGACTAGTCAAGATAACTTTCAACATATACTTTCTACAAATGCATTTGGTCACTCTGATTTAAAGCAATCTAAATCCTTATTTCATTAGAGTTTTTACTCTGCATCTGGACTATCTCTTCTTTGCTGTGATCTGTCTTAGCTTATAACTTTATTGATGAAACAGGATGTGCCAAACACACTTTTAGACTGCTTTGCGGAGTGCTATGAAAATGTGTTGTTCATTTATCTCACAAACATTTATTGAGCACCTACTATGTGCCAGCCACTGGACCAGGTTCTAGCATTACAGGAATGGACAGCATATATTCACCATCTTGGAAGGCACGTAAAGCAGAAGAGTTGTTTCAGTAGGAGAAGGCAGACTATGCAATAACAATAAAAAGTCAGAAAACAAAAATGAGGTGGATCAGGCAACAGCCCGGTTGGAAAATGTGGGTGGCCAGTGAAACTTTCTCC